TTCCTCGGACAATACTCGCCGTAAGCCAATTAAATATCTCATTAATTATAGTAAAATTCCTATTCAGTTGATGTTATAACTAAAAGCTGTTAGGTTATTCATTCAATACTAAACCAATAACGTAAGAATTTATTCTGCTAAATTAATTTTGTTTGCTATTATTCCTCTGATGTTATTTTGATCGCTGATTTGAGTTCTCCAATGCAGTGTCGCTTTGTTTTGTCCCAAAATTTTGGCAACACTGCATCCTCCATCCTGCATGTTCCTATTTTGCTATTTTATTGTTTGTTTTATAAATAATAAGCGGGCATTTTCCACTATGTTTGGTTATTTCGCAAGCTTCTGCTTTATTTACACTGTACCCTGTCACAAAAGCTCTACTTCCGCTGGTAATTCGGTTATTCCATACGTCAGTTATACGGTTATTGTGACCGTAGTAAACAGGCTGGCAGACAACCGACGTAGGCAAACGAAGACAACAAACTGAGTTGAAATTATTTATTATGGTGTGTTCAAACTGTATATTCCATAAACTTATTTATTGATATTATTTCAGTTTATGCCATAAAATTTTATTATGACAAATCTTATTTTTAATAAAAAGAAATCGTAGAGTTTACATTGAAGCTTGTTTAGTAGCTGTTGTTGTTATTTTTAATTTCAAACAAAGCACACTCACTTCGAATGAATGAATGAAGATGGGAAAAATGTCGGTCTGCTGATGATTTCTGCTACTCTTCTTTGGTACATTCAAAAACACAGCATTCATTCCGCCGGCCATTCGGTTATTTCATACGTTATTTATACGGTTATTGTGACAGTAGTTAACAGGTCAACAGATTGAGCAAGCAAGTGAATTGCTAAACACTTGTGGTCAAAGTGTTATCGCGTAATCCGCAAGCGCTGTCATTATCAGCTTGCTCATTGTTGCTGTGTTTGTGCTTCAACGCTAGGAATTCTGTTGCTATAAAATTTAAATACTACTATGAACAGATAATGCAACCGCTCATACATACATACGAATGTATGCATATGTATGTACAATATGTATGTGAATACCACCATAGCTCCATTGGCCTTGGCGGCGTTTGCTACTTGCTGCACGCTGTTTGCCTAATTGGATTTTGTGTTATAAGCAAAATGACGGCCCCAAAACAAAATGTCGATTGGAATAGTTTCCGTTTGTAGGTAGTAAAAGTAAGTACACGAATAAGCAAGGCAATATGATTTTCGCAGCTGGCCATGCCATACGGACGCCATTTGCCTAATGCAACCATAATTAACGCGCGCATGTAAACGATTTCCGTCAATGGCGGATTTGAATTGAATGAATTAAAGCAAAGAAATTTCAGCTCCTAAATGGAGACTTGATTAATAATAATTTCTAGCCATATAATCTCGTTTGACTTTACGCTTTATTTCTAACATTTAATCTGTAATCTCAGCTCAGTGCATGGAAGAAATGTCAAACTGCCATCGCTTGGTTTACGTTTTTGCTATTTTTTTTTTTTTGCCTCAAAGCACACACGTGACGAAAAAGTAGCATACTATATGCATAATAAACGTTTCCTCATCTATGTGTTGGCGGGAATCGTTGCTAGCTAGCTAACCGTGTGTGAATACTATGATTACCTACTACAATACTCAGTTGGAATTCAAGTTTTTTGTTAAATACATCAATTTTTCGATAGCGTTTTAGGTTATGTGGTAACTTATTCTGCAAGCCTGTGAAACGGACAAACAAAATGTCTATTTGCCATTGCACAGCAGAGACTGTGCATGGATGGGCGGACGGACACATAGCGCACAGTGCAAACCAACATTCGCGACAAACAAACACTTTTTAGCAAGTGAGCAGTGTTTCCACCCATGCAACCATGTTTGTTTAATACGATTTGTTTGCCGACATATGTATGTAAGTGCATGCATACGTACATACATACATAAATATGTATGCATATGAAGGCGGATTCTTTGTATATAGAATTTAAGGGCACATGTGATTGTACACAGAGCTTGCGCAGCTTACGGAGGAGAAAAAAGGAGTTACTGTGATCTAAAATATGTATGTATGTCCATACATATCTTTTTTTTACGTGCAGACGTATGTACATATGTATGTATGCATAAGTAAGTATGTACATACGTATAAAAAAATATGGACACAGGAATTTTAGAACCAAAACCGCAGGTAATTTTTGAAAGAATTCAGAGGATTTTTTCTCCAGAAAATACTTCCAATTTAGGGTAATTTTTTTTTTTCAAATCGAACATTCGGTGGCAACATTTTTCATATCGCTTTTCTCACAGAGAAACAGTTTTGCCATTTAGTCTGCGTTAAATTGTCATCCACAGCTGTTGTACATACATATGTATGTACATATATATAAATTTACTCGTGATTTTTTCAAACTCATACCTCATGCCTGAAACGACATTACCAGCAACAGTTGGTTTTTCAATATGGCCTTCATTCTCCTTCATGCACTTGTAGGTGCATATGCATGTATGCATCTGTCAGATTGTAGCGAGAACAATGTGCGCATACACGTGTATGTTCCCAGATACAACAAAAATCAAAAACAGCTGCTGCTAGCACACTCTCCTCATTCGATTACAATATTTTCGCCGACCCCTGCTGCCAAACGCATGAAACCAAACCCCTTGATAATTTCTACGTACAGATATTTATTCTTTTCCGTGCCCCTGCTTGGCACTTCTCAAATGACAATAACAACTCAGCTGATGTGCTGCGTCAACCTACGTGGTACTGCCCAACTTGTCATCTCATTCACTCTAAACTTTTGCCAACGCCTTTTCCGCCTCTGTAACACTCTCACTCTTGCAAATGGCGTGAAAGACCATATCAAAAAGTCAACTGTTGTTGCCGTACGAAAATAATCGATATGGCATTACAGTTGGTGAAGTCAAAAAAATCTCCTCCAAATGGAAAAATTCGATAAATAACTGAGAACAAGATAGAATGAATAGAATTTTTTGTAAATGCATACTGAAAAACATTAGTTTCTGATATTTACAAGAACAATTTGAATGTCTACATATAAAAAGTGAATACATGAAAAATTTCAAATCGTTTTCTTTTCTACAGCTGGCCACGCCGACACGTGTATGCAAACAATTCACTGTAATTTTCTCCGTTTACTTGCCGGTCGAGATATGTGTTCGTTTTCTGTTTGCCTGGTAGAAAAGAGGGAAGCGAAACTCTTTTGGCGGGGTCTCGTTCGCTACTCGCTCGTTGGTTCGGCCGCTAGAAGGCACGGCAATCGTAGCCCAAATCCAACCGGCATCCGTTGGTGGTGTGTCTTCATTGCGCACAATGTTATTGTTGTTGCATAACAAGCGGCAATTTGTTCTTTTGTGTTTTGCCAAACCCCAATTGAGATACATGGCAATGAATATTTTGTTCATTCGTTCGTTTAATCATCACTTTTACCTACCTACCTACTACATATGTGTATATGTGTATATGTGTATATGTGTATATGTATGTATGTATGCATGCATGTATGTAGGTAGGTGTGTGCGAAATGCGAATGAACATGCTATGCATGTTGTTTCTCACCCGGCTTATGAAACCAAAGACGTTATTGAATGGCTACTGACTGCTCTGCCCACCCCTCTGTTGATGGGCATGGAAATTCGACGCGAATGGTTACTGTTGGTGGGTACTTTCCTACATATATACGTATGTAAATACATATATGACATTCTCAGCACAAATTGGCTTTCTGTGTGGCCACAGATGCCCCTCTATCTGCGCACTGCCTACAAGCACTAATCAACGAATATCTCATAAAAGGGGAGTAATTATGACCAGTCAACTGGCGTAGAAGTAACTGAGCAGAAAATTTATATAATTTTGTTGTGGGCGTGGTTCTTGTTGCATGAAATGGTGCTAATAATATGGGATAATTTGTTTAGGGAAAACAATACATAACTTACTTGGCTTAAATTCGCTCTTGACGTGAAAAAAAAATCAAGCTCTGTTTATAAAGCCCTTGCTATTCCTGCCCCGCTGTGTGATACAAAAGCGTAGGCCTTGATGACTTCGGAAGAGTTGGCAGCAGAAGTTATGAATAGCACGGTTTCGCCGAAGTTTTATAGGCCTTTGAGCACTAATAACGGTGAATACCGTAACAAATGGAACGAAGAGCTTTCGGAGATGTACGATGCCAATGATATTAATTCAGTGAAGCTAGAAAGTTGCTACTGGTCGGTCATATACACGTTCTTTGTATGTTTATTCTAGTCTTTTAACTGTAACTAAATATTTATTGCGTGGTAAGATCTATTAGAAAACTCGTTAATTACAAATAATATATCTCTTAAACAAAATGCAGTAAAAATGAGAAGCACGTTTCATTGAGCTGGGTTAGGGGTTACAGCAAAGGTTATGTTGGATTACATAGGCAGAGGAAGAGGTTCCGGAAGTACTAAAATATGACGACGTGGCTTATGATCGCTCCCAAGACAGAATTCTCGATTTTGAATTGTAGACCAACATTTTTCTGTTAAAAAATTACATCAACTCCTTGTAAAACTCGATAAAACCATTTTTTCTGCACAACAATTTTTTTTGAGCCCCACAATATATGTATGTTTATACAGGCGATAATCTACCTTTTAGTCGCTTTAACTCTATAAAACTCTTATTTTTTGCAAAGAATAAAAATTAATGGCGAAAATAGTGATTTAACCGCATTCCCTAGGAAATGTCTTAATTGGCATACGAGCAACTAAGAAATTGTAAATGACTGCGCCTTTAGTTTTGAACGCGAGTGTATTAGTTCAATAACATAACAGCGTCCTCTTTAGGTCGAAGTTTCAGAAAAGCAGCTGATGCTGTTCACAGTAATCATTCAAATGAACGAATAAAAAACTCTTTTTAGCCATGAGTAAAATATATTTTTAGCTTCAATTTGTATTTACTGTATTTGTTTAATATATTACAGAAAACATAAATAAGTTAACTTCTTTTTAGTTATGTATTTTCTTGGAAAACAATCTTCAAACTTCTTCTTCTTCATGGCTGTGACAAACGTCAATTCACATATGTACATTTCGTTTTGACAGCTAAAACGCTTAAAACTTGTGGTATTCGGTCAAGTTTGTGCCATTTAATTTCGGGGTAAAATCGCGATAAATTGTGTATAATTTTCTTGAAAAGTTGTGAAAAACGTGTGGCGTATAATAACGCTGTGCTTGAAATAATAAATTCGATAATTTCTGTAGAATTCATTGCATGCGGCGATTGCGGACCTCCACGAAAGCGCAGACGGCTGGAGCAGTGATCGCTACGACGGCAACGAAAAGTGGAAGCGGTGGTGGCGGTGGATCTACATCGTCAACAGGAGGAATAACACCGCATGCAGATATTAGGCAAACTCGTAGCAATAGCGGTGGTAGTGGTGGGACTAGTGGCGATATAACAAATAGCAACAGCACAGGTTCTGTAGGAATAACAGTCACCACTATTGTTGCAGCAACAACAACAACCGTGAGCCGTCAAAAACACAACATGGACGCAAAGCTGAGTGGAGATGTATTTAAGAACTTTGAAAAGACAGGAAAGAGTGAATTGTATGTGACCGGAAATAATAAACGGAGTGAAATTGCGTTTACTACAACATTGCTTAAACGAAACATTTTTATTTTAGTTTGAAGTTCTTAAAACAACAAGTGAAGGAAAATGATAATCCGATTTTTGGCAAAAATGACGAATTTAAATTCGGGATCTCCAGGGCTATCTACGACCTACTATGGCATGGACTACGTTGCACATTGAAGAAAGACACTGTGTTGAATACTCTAGCGGATGTTGTGGTAAGAAAAGAAAAGAAAAATGGAACAAAATATTATTGCATGCAATTGTAATGTGTAGAAAAGAAATATTGTAAATTTAAATATATATTTTCATTCATTCTTTTTTTCGGCTCACACCACAGACGTTGCATACTGATTTCCCTTCGGTTATCTTAGATATTGTAAATATATTGGACGCCGAAACTTCCTTAATGACTGATGGCATACAAGAAGAGCGTCTCATGTTTAGTCAGATTGTTAAAGATCTCGATAAGGTGATATCAGATAAGCTTATAAAGGAGCGCTTAGAAATAGATACACTACAAGATGTAGGGATTGTGAAGAATAAGGTGTTCTACACCAAGTTCATTAAGATAAAAACAAAGCTTTAGTAAGGGCAATTATTTATCAGAGCACGAGATATTTTATGCTATTTATTATAAATATTTTTAGCTACAAGCAGCGGCGCTTTAACCTCTTCCGGGAGGAGAGTGAAGGATATGCTAAACTGATTACAGAATTAAATCAAGACTTTGAGGAAGATGCCACAGCGACAAGCATAATGGATATTATAAAATCACTAATTGGTATTATTATATTAAAGAAATATGAGAGTAATTATTTTTAAATAATTTTTTTGATATTTGTCCAGGTTGCTTTAATTTGGATCCTAATCGCGTACTTGATATCATAATTGAATCCTTTGAAACACGTTCAGAACGGCGACATCTTTTCATACCGCTGTTACGTGCGTACATGCCAAATGGTTCAATTATATGTGAAGTACTCGGTTATAAATTTCGTTATTTTGCTGAGACAAGAACACCGCGTTCACTCTTTCATGTTTGCTCACTACTTTTGAAATATGGCGTTATTGAATTACATGATATTTACCAATGGGTAAGTGAGTGTCGGCATTTTACAATAAATAAATCGATATTGATTTCTCTTTCTGTGCTGTGTTAAAGCTTACACCAGTCGACAAGTCGATTATAAGCGAATGGGAAAGCGATCTATCAGAAGCAAAAGAATTTGTGCGCAAACTAAATATTATTGTAACAAATAAGGATAAAGAACAAGTAGAACCAGAAATAGAGAAACCCTATGATGTGGTGGGTAATATTAAAATAATATTAAAACTAATAAAATTTTCTAATTAAAATTTTCGGATTACAAATCGAATACAGGAAAAATATTATGCCAACCAGAAGTTTGGCTTGTGTGAAGGTTTGCTCAAAGTTGGTGATTGGGAAAATGCATATAAGATAATAAAAAAATTACCTGAACAATCGGTTATAGTACATGAGCCAATCGCACGTGCCCTAGCCGAATTAATACACATCTCCATTGATTATGTTTACACCGATAAATGTTTTAAAGCCAATTCGCGGCGTTCAAAATTGACTGATGATAAAAAGTTATTACAAAAAATACAAGCGCGTGAATTTTCACAATTGCGCAACTATACCATACCGATGGTGATAGCATTGGGTCCCGCTATGCATTATGACACAGTGCTAATGTATAAACTTATACGCATTTTGCGTACAATAATGACAGATATGGGTGTGGATAGCCTGAATGCGCCACCGCCTAATACTGAATCAGAAACGCTCTACTTTGAAGTTATGACTGTTATAGATGCAGCTATATTACCAGCGCTTTCGTACCTAGATTGCAATTGTCCCATGGCTGAGGAGATTTGGACTGTGTTGAAATTCTTTCCGTACCATTTTCGGTAAGGAATTATTGATTTATGGATTATGGAAACGCAAAAACTTTTCTAACTCTATAATTTTTTATGCCACCTTCATTTTATTTCGTAAATAACAGTTATAGTTTATATGCACGTTGGAAAAACGACACCTATTTGGTGCATCCGGTGCTTATACGTCGGCGTGGTTTGGCACATAAAAACATTAAAGCTTTAATGAAACGCGTTAGTAAGGAGAACGTGAAGCCGGTAGGGCGTCTAATCGGCAAATTGAGTCATTGTGCGCCAGGCTTTCTTTTTGACTATGTAGGTTTCAAATAATATTTATATATTCATATGAACATTTTGTCATTCAAGTCTTATGCTATTATAGATTTTGCTACAAATCCAAATCTATGACAATTTAATTGGTCCTGTTGTGGATTCCCTAAAATATCTAACATCACTCTCATTTGACTGTTTGGGCTATTGCTTGATCGAGGCTTTAGCAATGGCAGATCGAGATCGTTTCAAGCATGACGGCACTTCAATTTCTTTGTGGTTACAAAGTTTAGCTTCTTTTTGTGGTGCAATATTTAAAAAATATAATATTGAACTGAGTGGTCTGCTGCAGTATGTGGCCAATCAGCTGAAATCGCAAAAGAGGTCAGGTTACTTGCAGTATGTAAATTGATTGGTAAAATAATTTTATGTCATCCTCCTCATCACTTCACAGCTTGGATCTTTTGATACTAAAGGAAATAGTGCAAAAAATGGCTGGCGTTGAGTCGGCTGAAGAAATGACTAATGAGCATTTAAATGCTATGTGTGGTGGCGAGTTGTTGCGTGGCGAGGTAAGCTGTTTTCACTTTAAATTCGTCGCTGAAAATTTAATAAATTATTTATTTACTCTTCAGGCTGGTTATTTTAGTCAAGTGCGTAATACGAAGAAGTCTTCGCAACGCTTGAAGGATGCGCTCGCCAATAATGATTTAGCTGTTGCCATTTGTTTGTTAATGGCACAACAAAAACATTGTGTAATCTATCGTGAGACTGCGCAAAGCCATCTTAAACTTGTGGGTAAATTATATGACCAATGTCAGGATACTTTAGTACAATTCGGCACTTTTCTCGGTTCTACATATTCGGTGGATGAATATGTCGAGCGTTTGCCATCAATAATTGCCATGCTGCAGGAGTATCACATCAACGCAGATGTAGCATTCTTTTTGGCTCGTCCAATGTTTACTCATCAAATTAATGTAATTGCATTAAATTGCATTATACGAAAATTTATTATATACTAATTTATTATTTTACTTTTCAAATAAACAGCAAAAGTACGATCAATTGCGCAAGGCAGACCCAAATGCTAAAAAATTGACCACCAATCAAAAATTGCAAAAATATTTAGAAGCCACTAATTTAATTATGAACCCCATTGTGGAGTCAGTGCGTCCATTACATGGTCCAAAAGTGTGGGAGGATATTAGTCCTCAATTTTTGGTGACTTTTTGGTCGCTAAGCATGTATGATTTACAAGTACCCGCCGAGAGTTATCAGAAGGAAATTTCCAAGCTCAAACAATTATCACTACAAGCTGCGGAATCAAAAGATTCGGTACTTCTTACTTAATAACAATTAAAAAACATAAATATACATATATTTTTAATAATTCGATATCAATAGAACGCGTCTAAGAACAAGAAAGAACAGGAACGTTATATTGCTTTGATGGATAAGCTACAGGATGAACGTAAGAAACAGCAAGAGCATGTCGATAAGATTCTGCAACGTTTACAACAACAAAAGGACAATTGGTTCCTTTCACGCTCGGCAAAGTCGGCAAAGAATGAGACCATAACGCAGTTTTTGCAGCTTTGCCTGTTTCCAAGGTAAGTCATTTGAGAAATGAAAATATTTTTGTAGATACTTGAGTTTATTTTATAAAAAGGTAAGTCTTTTGAGAAATAAAAATATTTTTGGAGACGTTTATTTTATAAAATAGTAAATTACTGAAAATAATTATTCATGTAGTCGATATTTTTGTTCACTTTTGTTAAAGATAGAATTGAAAAATGTTTTTGGAAATGACTTCTTTGTTGAGAACCTGAAAAAAAATCCAGAAGTTTTTAAATACTGTTTATTTTTTTATATTTTATTATTATAATTTCCATTTATTTTATTTTTTTTTCAATTTTTTTATTTATTTTTTATTTTATTTTTATTATTTATTTTTTTATTATTTATTTTTTTTATTATTTATTTTTTTATTATTTATTTTTTTTATTATTTATTTTTTTATTATTTATTTTTTTTATTATTTATTTTTAATTTTTTAAAAAAATTTTTTTTTTATTTTTTGTTATATTTTTTTTATGTTTTTATTTTTTATTTTTTATTAAATTTTATTATTATTTTTTATTATTTCTTATATCTTTTTTATTTATTTTTTTTTTTAATTTATAACATTACTATTTTTTACTATTTTAATTTTTTTTAATTATTATTAGTATTTTTTTTTTTTTTGAATAATTCAATATATATTTAAAAACTACACACTTGGTTCTCGTGGGAGTAATAATTTATTTTTAGAATTAACTTGTAGTCAATTTTGAAACCATTTTGAAGAACTAAGTAGTTTTTAAATAATTTTTCAAAATATGTAAAAATAAATTTATTCATAATTTTTTTTTGAATAAAATGTACATTTGTCTGCAACAAGTTTTAAAAATTTTCAGATATTTTTAATTAAATTTTGAGAAAAATTGTATACTAAGTCTGAAGATCTTTTCGAAATTAAGATAATCTTAGTATTATAATTAAAAAAAAAAATTAATAATTATTATGAAAAAAACTATTTATTGAAAAATATTATTTTTTTTTCCATGAGTGTCAGTAATTAATTTCTTGAAATATTATATGCAATTATTTTTACCATTTTCGAAGTATTTTTTTTTTTTGTAAATAATTTGTAATGATAAAATATTTGAAAATTTTTTTTTCAGATTTTTATAATATCTTTTAGATTTCAAAAATACATATTTTAATATTCGAAATCAAACTTTTACAAAACTATAATTTTTTTTATTGAATTAGATAAAAGTTATCAAAATACTTATTATGAATATTTTTTGTATGTTTTTTCTAATATTTTTGAAATCAAATTTCACATAAAATGTACAAATAGTTCTTTAAACGTAATGAACATTTTATAAATATTTTTTTAATTTATAAGTTGGAAAATTTTCGAAACTCCAAATTATTATTTTTTTTTTTCAAATACCTTATATCAATTTCGGAATAATCTAAATGATTTTTCTATGTTATTAGGTGCACCTTCACTGCCCTCGATGCCCTCTATTGTGCGAAATTCGTGCATACCATACACAACTTAAAGGCTGCCAATTTTTCGACGTTGCTTTGTTACGATCGGGTTAGTGAGACTTTGCTGATTATTTTTTGATTTAACTTAAAATATTAACAAACCTTTTTTTTTTTTGTAGATTTTCTGCGACATCACCTACTCGGTTACGTCATGCACCGAAAATGAGGCCACACGCTATGGGCGCTTCCTTTGCGCCATGCTAGAAACCGTAATGCGTTGGCATGCCGATCAGGCTGTTTTCAATAAAGAATGCGCCAATTATCCCGGTTTTGTTACCAAATTTCGTGTCAGTAATCAATTCTCGGAAGCTAACGATCACGTTGGTTATGAAAACTATCGTCATGTCTGTCATAAGTGGCATTATAAAATCACCAAAGCGATTGTCTTCTGCTTGGACTCTAAAGATTATATGCAAATACGTAATGCACTCATCATACTAATGCGTATATTGCCACATTATCCTGTGCTCGCCAAATTGGCACAAATTATTGAAAGAAAAGTGGAGAAAGTGCGTGAGGAGGAGAAGAATAAACGTCCGGATTTGTTCGTTATCGCCTCTAGCTATATTGGCCAGTTGAAGACAAAGGCGGCGCAAATGATTAAAGAAAGTGATTTTCATCAGGTTACCGAACGACAACTGCGCGTTGAATCCGCTGCCGCTGCGGCTATTGCTGCCGGAAATACAATCAGCGCTGCACAGATAGTCAATGCAGTTGCGCAAATTAATGCGAATGCTACAACAAATAGTGCAAGCGCAAATGCGAATGTTGTCAGTTTGGTTGATGCGGCAAACAAAACTGCGACAACGGTACAACCTGCGGCACATCGTGAAGTTACGCCCGTAACGGCAAAACAAGTCAGCAATGGTGATGTGAAGGGTGGTGAGTTTTATTTAATTTCCTTTGGTTTTTGTGTTTATTTTTTCGTAAAAAACTCTACAATTTTTACACAACAGAAAAACGCGAGAAAGAAAAACAGCCTAAGCAAATTATTAAAATGGAACGTGAGCCTATAACGAGTAATATTTCAAATAACTCACCCATCGAGTTGGACACGAGATCATCTACAGTTGTAATAAACGAACGCAGCAGTGAGCATGGTGATCGCCATAGCAGTAGTCGTTCGCTGAAAGATGTTAAAAAGGAAGAACGTACACGTGAACGCGAACGTGAGCGTGAGCGGGAGAATCAAAGGGAGCGCGAAAAAGAACGCGAACGTGAGCTTAGGGAGCGTGAAAGAGAGAAGGAACGTGAACGGGAGCAGCGTGAGCGAGAACGTGAGCTGCGTGAGTTGCGCGAACGTGAGCGCGAACATCGCAGTCATAATGACGAATTAGATTTATCAGGCGGCGGTGGCGGTGGTGTAGGAGGTGGTAGTGCTGGTGGTACTCTCACTAGTGGCAGCACTATGATTTCCACACGCTCCAAGCGCGACAAACGACGCGGCGAAGAACGTTATCGGCTAGAATCACCGGCTGTGGAGCATATCGAGGTAATGGAAAACAAACATGAACACCATGAGTATGAACGTGAACGAGATCGGGAACGCGAACGTGAACGTGCTAGGGATTTGAGTTCGGTATCGAATGAGAGCAATGGTTCATCGATGCATCGACGGAGTCAGGATATAATTGAATATGACAAAGGTGGGTTGTGGCAGGATTATGTTTTATAATTTAATTAAAATTTTTTGTAGCTTTCATCAATTATTTAATTTCTTACATACTATTTAACAACTTGCTCATTGTACACTTTAATGTTATTATTAACCTTTGAACTCTTCTTACAGACACGAAACGCCGCAAAGTGGAAGCCGCCTCGACGACTGCTTCATCAAACTCAAAGGTTAGTATTTTGATGCAAACGTAGTTCCTAAGACAAACTCTGAGAGGGAGAGAGAGAGAGAAAGAGATGAGTGGCGGCCATTTTTTGGAGTGCAGCAGATGGGGACAATGCCAAACCATTTAACAACACAGTTGTAATAAATAGTAAATTAAACAAAAAAAAAAACAAAAACAAAAAAAACAACAAGAAAAATGCCAACAATTTAACCTACGCAAATATGTGATAGCAGCGCTTTTTACAATAACAACAACTACTACAACAGCGAGGGCAGTATTAAATGTGATGACAGTATCGGCAGGAAAATCCACCCAAAATGTTAACGAAACTGAAACTGCAATCGTTACAAACACCGAAAAAAACGAGTAGCGATTAAACAGTAAACAACGAATATTCTTCTTTTTTTTATAAATTTGCCAAGCAAGAATTTTAAGTGTAATATATATTGTGTACATTTCTGTTCTTTTCGAGTAAGTTAGTTTTACAAAAATACCACCTAAAAACACACACACACAAACATATTGTAAAACGAACATTTTTATATTATGCAAAAATAGTCTGAAATACTTAATGATTTCTTAACTACATTGTTGTTTTTTTGTAATTAAAATGTTTAAAAATATCTTAACACTTTTCTAAAGTAGTATTTGTTTGATATTAAGTAGCAACAAATCTCAAACTAAAGAAAAAATATTTGAAAAAAAAAGAACTAGTGAATTCATTTCAAAAATGGAACTCAATGCCAATTGCAAAAGTGCATAACAGTATTGAAAATATTTGTACTGTGCATTTAAATGTGATATAGAGTTTATATAGTTTTTTAAATAACAATTTTCTTTCGAGACATGAGTAATTATTTATTACAAAACTCCGCAACTTTTGTACTTAGACGTAAGCTGTAGCGATTAAGTAGTTTTAACTTTAAGATAAATGTATATAGTAACAAGTGAAGCAACACAACAACAACGATAACAGTGGAAACAACAATAACAACAGTAAAGAGTAGCAACAGTGCACCAATTGAACGACAATCAACAAAGCGAGACATCCATTTGTCAAACTTTAAGCAGTTTAAACGCAAAACAACAGTCTCCAATAGAAGAGCCTACAATGTTGACGACCGTAAAATTACTCCACACTTATACAAATGCAACAGAAATAAGTTGAAGAGATGACTGGAATATGCTTCATATAAACACCCTACCTCGTATAGATCGCTTTCAATACTCAATGGACTGAGTTTTATTTATATAATTTCAATTTTACTTAAATACTTAAACAAAAACGATGCACAAATTCTTGCCTCATCAATATGCAACGAGAATCAACGAGCTTCCAATACATAAAAATAATTCGGAACACGCTGGATGGAAATAAAACGGATTGCTTTTGGATCTCAGTACAAGAAAAAAAGGATTTTTAAACTAAAGTAAACGTAAAAAGGCCATAAATCAACTTTAATCATCTTTAAGCTGCGTACGGAAAAATATATCAACACATCGAAGGAATCTTACACCAACAACTAGTGCTAGAGGAAGCACCAATGGATTAAAAAAAAATTGAAAGAAGCTGTAGTACTAGAAATCCAACATCTACTTCATGTATTATGCTTTATGAACGATTTCTTGGGACAATAGCAACCTACATCATTCACTCGCAAAGTATAATATCATCCAGTTTAATATCCAAAAAGTATCAACGCATCAGCAACGTTGGAACAAAAACGACCAGACAACTCTACAATTCCGGCAAACTGAAGAGAGAGGGAGCGAAATAAGGAGAACAGGAAGTCTACTACTGTGCGGCCTGTGATTTTTGAGCTTGAAAACTATCGCCATTACTTTATTAGAAAATACATACGATATCTCAAAGGAAAACTGTCCGGTAATAGTGCTCATCCGTAGATAGCAGTGCGCTTATATACAATTCTACAATATTTGGCTAAGGTTCTCTTCTGAAGCCTGCATAGACAACCTTCTGTAACACAAGCCTAAACAAGATGCAGGCAACATCTAAAAACAAACCACAGTAAGATGCTGGAAGACGTTTTCTATATAAAATTTACGAAAAATAGGACATGTCATTTGGTATTTCTTTTGCTTGTTTTGTACTCAATGCCCAACAACGCTCTGTTAAGAAAATATAAGTACACCAACAGCTGTACAACGTGACGCAACTTCATCGCAACATCGAGTTTGTTTTCCACATGCAAAGGAAAACGCATTCAGCTTACCTAGAATTAGATAGAATGTCACTACAACTCGAACATTTGAAGATCGTGAGTAAACGTGAAGCGCACGAAGATTCAAGCAAGCATCTTTCAACTGTTTTAGCGTACTTGATGAAATAACTGGCAGTCAAGGACCACCTACTCATCCCACATACCAATATCTTAAAAGGATTTAGGCAATTGAAACAACGGAAAACTTGATCAGTGACATCTACGAACTCCATAGAGGCGGCTGGAATTCTTACAAATTGGTACAAAACGAGTCAATACAACGATTTTTTGGATTTCTGGTTTAAGTGAGCACACTTTTGATCGTCTGCAAACATCACCAAAGTATCCCCTTGACTACAAAAAAGCAACTGGACGACGACAAGATGCCACAACCAACGCCTTCAAAGGATGTCTATAAGCACGGTTCGGATGCGATTATAGTCAAAATACTACATAAAATGCCAACAGGAAATCTAAATCAACAAAAATTCTACAAAAAAATGCATAAAATCCCTATAAACACCTAAAAAGTAGTGCAAATACAACCTAAAGAGTTCAGTTACAACTTCTGTAAGGACGATTCTTAGGATTTATCGCCACTGCCGTCTAGTCTTAACATTATTTAAACTCATTTGTGCTGTCCTTCTGACCGCTGCCTGCATTCCTAATTCGCCTTTGAGCCGTTTTGTTATTAGTCGTTGGTTATAAGCGAGCTGTGAGGTGAACTTTTGGTCGGTAAGTGCGCTTAGTGGGTGGATGGAAGTTTGAAATTAAAAAAAAGAAAGAAAAAAAAAACATTACAAATATATAACAGTAAAGCAAACATCAATAAACAAGAAGAACAGTATGAAAAGCTTTATGCATTGAAAAAAAATCTTAACAAAATAAATAGATGTGAGTGCTAAATAAGCTTAGGTTTATACATATTTTGTACTAACAACAAATCAGAGCAAAAAAAAAAAAACATCAAAAAAAACGCCATAAAAGATATACACGCATAAGAAACGACCACAAACGACTCGTCGTGCATGCGGAATTCTATTTAAATATGATATAATTTAATTTTGTCTAATTACAGAAACAGGTTTTAGATGATTTGCTTGAGAATACAAAGAAAGAACGCGGCGTCAAAAATAAAGAGCGCAAAGAAAAGCTATCCGAGGAGGAGAAGGACGCACGTAAAGAACGCAAAATGGGACGTAAACGTGAACGGCTGGAGGAGAATACCAATACGGAGCATAAGCGGCGTAGAGAAGGTGATTGCTTGCGACAGAATTTGTATCTCATGAAGTGTACTCACGTATTTTCTTTTATTTTATTTTATTTTAATTTTATTTTTTTTGTTTAATTTCAGTACAAAATGGCGATGATGATTTGCGTGAGCGTGACAAATATCATACAAGAGTAATTAAAATATTTTATTTCAACGTATATTTTACTTTTCTCTAACTCATTTGTATTAACTTTTGTATTGCCTCAATCACTTGTAGGAAAAGTCACCACACCTGCGCAGTGAGACGCGTGAACGCTCGCATGAGAAGTTCGAACGTGATCGGAGCACACGTGAGGAGCGTTTATACGGCACTTCAAAGTCTGCACGTTCGCGCATCGGTTACTAAGTGGGAAACAGCAAACCAACAGCAGTGGTGGGCAGACAGACGCCAGCATTGTTTTATACATTTTTATTTTTTTTTTTTAATAATTAATTTTTAATGTCCAAGCAATTTCAAAGCAAGCAATCAACAAATCAGCCAACAACAATAACATCATCTTAAAATACAACAATAACAGCAACAATACAATTTCTGTTAGTATTCTATTTTTAATTATATAATAAAGCTAAAAGAAACAAAACTCCACACAATACAAACAATACAAACAAAAACAAAAAATGCATAGCTTCAACACAGCATATTCATACATTTCATTGCAACACTAGATAAAAAAAATTATACAACAATTTTACAGCATTCTTATTTTAAATATTTAAGAAAACTTTATATGTCTGTATGTTAGTAGTTTAATGTATATACAAACATACAACAACGACAGCAAATTCAACGAAATATAAACAAAATAAATGCCACCAATTCCTTTAATAATTAAAAAATATAGTCCACTGTTGTAAGTTTTCTTTTTTAGTTTATAAATAAATAATAAAACACAAAAAGTGATTGTACAAAAAAAAAAAAAAAAAAAAAAATGGAAACAAAAACTATTTATAGATTTTAAGAGCCGTGCGTTTACACTTAACAATAAAGTTAAATTTTCGCAAGAAAATCCTTTAGATATATACATAAAACAAAAGCGTTTTTATTACTTACAGGCAAATTGACAGAGGAGCTACTAGATCGAGTTTGGTTGTGACTTACTCGCTAATTTTCGTAATTTTTTTTTCGCACATAACAGACCTTAACATCTAACTCAAGAAAGTATTGTACTTTGGTTCGCCTCAAAGTCGTAAATTTCGTACCGTTCAATATTTCTTTGCTGGCTTCCCTGCCTCAGACAGTTTGTAGCAACCAGAAATTATTGGATTAAGTAGTAAAACCAATCTAGGATTTTGGAAAACGCAGTTTGTTTTTCTTACAGTGTACCTTTGGGTCCTGAAAATGATATGCAATTGGTTTTAATGTGAAAAAATATTTCAAATAGGTGAATTTTTTATTTTGCATGCACTGAGTACAATGAACACTTTAAACGCGTTTTTCTCAAAATTACATTTTTAAACTGGGTGCACAGATTATTCGGACCCTATTGGATCGATTTATCTGAAATTTTGATTGCCGCTTTACAAATACATTTTTTCTGGAAGTACGTAGCCGTTTTTCAATTAAATGTTAACTTCTTTTTAAATAATTTAGTGCGTATTTTTCAGTGGAAAATCAATTAAAAAAATTGTGTCGCTTTCACAGAAATTAATTAAAAATAAATCCCTACGTACTCCAAGGACTGTAGTTTGTAGATCATAAAACTTTTTGCTTTTCTGTTCTAGGTCTCTTCATTTAAAAGAAATCGGTACTCTTGTGGACGCTTTAAAAAAATGTGGATTGACTGATGGACTCTATTTTAATTTAATTTTTAAAAATTAAGTATATTTTTCAACCTCTAGAGTGTTGCACCCCTTAAGTCAAATGGAAGCCAAGTAAATAGCGACATCAGCGCTGGTCCACAACCTTTTCAAATCCATTACGTGCCTTTCACAGTGCAAGTTCAAATCAATTTTCTGCTTTCAATTATATGCTTTAAATGGTTACTTCTGTGTGGAAATTCCAGATACGGTATATACATACATACATACATTGGGTATGACTTAGACTACGCGGCTTTCTTCAGGTAAATAGTGATTGGTTTCCGAGAACTCGATACAAGCAGCCTTTTTGAGGAAGACATTATCAAATGACTCTCGTTGAACAGCATTAAAGGTCTGGCTTTGATTCTGCGGGATTAACGGCTTTGTAAGGTAGAGTTTACACAGTCATGACTTACTTACTTTACTGGCGTAGACACCGCTTACGCGATTATAGCCGTTTTACAACAAAGCGCCATTTGTTACTGCTTTTTGCTGTGTGACGCCAATTGGAAATACCAAGTACAGAAGGACCTTATCTACCTGGTCCTTCCAACGCAGTGAAGGTCTTCCTCTGCTTCCACCGGCGGGCGGGTACTGCATCGAAAACTTTCAAAGCTGGAGTATCGCATCCATACGGATCACATGACCCAGCCAGCGTAGCCGCTACTTCTTGATAGGGTAGAGTTGTAGAGTTTGGATTTCGCTCGTTGGGAGAGGACTTTATATTTCTATTGCCTACTCAGTCCGAAGTAGCACCTGTGGGCAAGAGTGATTCTGGATTTCAAGGCTGACATTATTGTTGTTGTTAATACTGCTTCCAAAATAGACGAAATTATCTACGACCTCGAAGTTTTGACTGTCATCAGTGACGTGGGAGCCAAGTCGCGAATGCGAGGATTGTTTTTTTTTTTTTTGATAACAGGAGATATATCGTCTTTCCCTCGTTCACTACCAGATCCTTTCGCCTCGGTTCTTTATCAAGCCTGGAGAAAGCAGAACAAACGGAGCGGTTGTTGAGGCCGATAATGTCAATATCGTCAGCGTATGCCAGTAGTTGTACACTCTTATAGAAGATTGTACCTTCTCTATTGAGCTCTGCCGCTCTTATTATACTCTCCAGCATCAAATTGAAGAAATCACACGACAAAGAGTCACCCTGTCTGAAGCCTCGTTTGGTATCGAACGGCTCGGAGAGGTCCTTCCCAATTCTGAGTGCGCTTCTGGTGTTGTCTAGCATCAGCTAACACAGCCGAGATTCCAAATTCATACATAGCGACGTAAATATAGCTTCTTTTTGTGCTGTCGAAGGCGGCTTTAAAATTGACGAAGAGCTGGTGGGTGTCGATCCTCTTTTCCAAGATTTGTCGCATGGTGAATATTACTTACCTGCCGCTTCTGAAGAAAACAAATCTATAAAAATATACTAGCCAGGCAACACATAATTAAATATAGTTTGATAAAAATTAAATCAAGTAAAATTAACTAAATCAAAATAAAATAAATTAATAATAAAACAAACAAAGAAGACAAAAACGAATTTTTATTAAGTGAAAAATGAAGCAAAATTACAGGAATTAAAAAATAATAAAGTAAAATAAACAAAAAAAAATTTAAAAAAATGAATTAAAAAAAAAAAACAAAAAATAAAACGAAATTAAAAAGGCAAATGAAATAAAATTGAATAAAATTTTATGAACTAAAACGGTAAGGTATAAAATAAAATAAATAAAATTTAATAAAAAAAATACGAAAATATAATGAAATGTAAAAGTTAAAGGAAACTTAAGCATATACAATAGTAAAAAAAAATAATAGTTAAATAACTGAAAAAATACAAAAGCGAAATAACATTTTGTTGGTTTTTCCAGATAATATAAAACAAGTTAATTAGCAAATAATATTAAATAAAATAAAGTAAAAAACTATATTAACTACAATATTACATAAGAAAATAAAATTTATTAAATTAAATAGGGAAAAGTAAAACAAAATAAATTAAAATAAAACATTATATAAGAAAAACTTTTTATAATATTATTAAATGAATAACAACACCTGGCAAATTTTAGTATTCATTCATTTTATTTATTTATTATTTTTCTGTGCAAATAACAATTTTGTCATATATTAGTTATTTATCTGTATTCATTACTAATTTACCATTTGTGCTTTTTCGGCTTGCAACTACATTGTATGTATGTATACATTCATTTAAATATGTATTTTTGTATTTTTCTATTGTATATTGTTATTGTATTCAAACTACATAGTTTCTTTGATGATTCAATTATTATTTGGGCGTAGCACTAGAACTGCGGATATTATTTATTTTTATTTTTCATTTTATTTTTTATTTATTTTTTATTTATTTTTTTTTTTTTCAAATCAACGTTCCATTTGTCAAATCTCACACTAGTTTTTGACATTTTAAACCAATCCAAGCCTAAAGGCAAAATAATATATACGCTAATTTTGTTGTTGTTGTTGTGCTAGTACTACCACCTGTTAATAAATTCGCTTTGATTATTTTTTGTTTTTATTTTTTTTTAAATACTTAATTTTTGATTTTGGTTTCAAATAACATTTGCTACTATTTTCATATTTTGATGTACACATTTGGAGTAGGCAGTAGGGTTGTAATCGGTTATCGAAAATTCGTTCATTATTTGGATTAGAGGTTATGGCGAATTTTATGTACTATTTTGACATTATTTTGAAATTTGAATTGGAATTATTTAGGAATCAAAGGAAAAGAGAAAAATAATAATATTACTTACTTAAGAGAATATTTGCAGCTAATTTTTAACAACAAATTACATGTAAAATTATATTAAATTATAAAATGTTGGTGTATTGCTAATGGTTTTTATCTTATTATACTCTAATATTAATAACATTTAATATTATTTCAGTAATTCCATTAAAAAATTAAAGTATAATTAAATAATAAAAACAACATAAAACTCAAAATTATTTTTTGTTATATTTTTTTTCTACTAAAGTATTAATTATTATTATTATTATTTTCTTGCCAAATTGCAATGCAACTACTTTTTGTTTTATATTCGCTTTTATTTTTAGTTTATATACTAATAAATTTATTGTTATTAAATTGTTATTAATTTTTTCGTAATTTCCATAAATGTTCATCCAAAACTTTATTTTTTTATTTTAGTTTTTCTTAATGTTTTTTTTTTTTTTTTTTTATAAAAAAATTTCATTCTAAGGCAACTTTTAACATTGATATGAGTAGTGTTGTTGTTTTGAAATTTATGCTTTTGCGTTTTATGAATAATATGTGTGATTATGTATAATTTATAGGTTAGGTTTGTGTTTTGTGCAGTTATTTAACACTAACAAGTTTATGACTCCAAATGCGTGAAGGTGGGCGAGTGGTAGGCTTTTACAATAGAATTAATTGCTAAATGTGTGTTTTGTTTTTTGCGCTGAGTAGCAGGTTAACTTTATTAGGTATTAAAAGTGGCGAAAGAAAATATAATTTTTTTATTAGCTGACATTATATATATATATATAAATTTTTTTCCTTTTTATGCCAATTTGATTAGTTTTGCGTTCAAACAGACGAGTCATAAATCATTAAATAACTTTTTATTTAATTGGCTTTGCTGTTCATACAGGTTGAGCCTAAATTACACAATTAGTATTTGACAGCTGTCAATAAAGTATTTGATTTTGCGTTCATCAAATTTGTAGAACTCAAAATATATTATTGCTTCAAATGCATATTGTTTTCTCATTACTCAATCAAATGTTCTATATTACCATATTTTCATATTTTATTTAATTGTTGTTAATTTTTATGACCTGCCTTAAAAAAAGAGGTCTTCCTCTGCTTATTACATACCTTGTATAATCGTATTTAGAAAATTGATTTTCAATTGAATATTTTTTGGAAATTGTTTAACTGCATGTTTGCCTACTGAATTTGCACTCATTTCAAGATTTAATTGTAGAAAAAATTTGTCAATTGTCAATTTGGTTTCTGTCTGAACACAGTACGTAATTTGTAAAGATTTTCATCAATTTTTCCAAAAATCAAGACTGTTCAAGATGGCATTTTCATATCCGCTGCTTTAAGTTTTATATAGGCAAACAATACTGGCATTGAGTCACCTAACGGTGTTTAAAAAATGTCTTGAAAAAATCTACGACATGCTCATCGTACTGGGAAGCGGCATTGAAAAAGAGTGTTTTTTATTTGAGTTTCAACTTAGCGAGAGATGAGTGTCTACTGTTTAGGTTTAACAGCAAGAGTGCTCGACAGAGTGAGAACAACAAAAAGCTTTCCCAATCAACAACTCCTGGCTAAGCAATGAGGAATGAGGGACGCGAAATGTAATCTGGTGGTGAGTTCATTTAAGGAGATGAATTTTTGAAATAAACCCAAAATACTAGTCATAATTACAATTGAAGAACAGCGAAGAGGTTAGAGACGGTCCTTTTTTCAGCTGTTCTATGCTGGGTGTTTGGCATCCTGGCAAAGGTTTAAACCTAAATCATAAGGAGAATATACCTAAGCGAGAAAATTTCAAATAAAGCAATAAATATGGCAAATAGGCGATGAAGCGGCAATGAGTTAAAATCCACAGGCAACTAGGGCCAGATACTATATTGTTTTGGATTAAAATGAATAATAATAGATCTTCGGGAACAAATGAAAGTGTTTTCATTTCGGCATCTTTAAAAAGAAGAATATAAATCTGACTGAAAATATGAAACTTTGTGCTCATTTAATCAAGCTATGACGAAGGCCCGACTCAGTTTTGGTTTATAAAATTATTGTACATTAGAGTTTAAACTTAAAAAAAAAGTGTTAAAAGTTCAGCTTATCTAAGTTTTTATGTTAGTACAATAAGTAAATTTGTTAGGTGGATTTGTTATATAATTTGTTATTGTGCTGATTGTTTGGACGTTCTTGGAGAGTGTGATATGTATCAAGAGTTGGTTGAATACAGGTAGATTCGAGAGTATTTGGGATGCAAAAGTGCTTCAAGATAGAAGATATGTGTATTAATAGTTATGATAATGTGCGAACTGTTATTTGGTTTTTCTCTTTTCTTAAATATATGCGAATACGATTATGGTAAATTGGCTTATTATTTCTCAAATATGTGAGATCAAATGCTTATACTGCTTTAGTGATGTTTAATGTTTAGTTTTTTAAAATGATTTTTTTCGTTTTATTTTATTTCATTTTAACCCATTTTATTTTATTAATTTTTTTTTCATTTTGTTTTGTTTTACTTTATTTTAATTTAATTTAATTTATTTTACTTTATTTAATTTAATTTATCCTCTTTTTTATTTTATTAATTATTTTTTTCATTTTGTTTTGTTTTACTTTATTTTAATTTAATTTTATTTATTTTATATATTTCACTTTATTTAATTTATTTCATAATATTTAGTTTAATTTATTTTATTTTACTTTATTTAGTTAAATTTAATTTTACTAAATTTTATATCGCCTTACTTTATTTAATTTAATTTTAATTTAATTTAATTTTGCTTTATTTTGATTTAATTTTATTTGTTTTACTTAATTTAATTTAATTTAATCACTTTTTATTTTATTTTATTTTATTTCATTTTATTTAATTTATATTATTTTATTTAAATTTAACTTAATTTGATATTGTTTTATTTCATTCAACTATATTTAATTTTGATTTATTTTATTATACATAATTTTATTTCATTTTATTTTATTTTTTTCATTTATTTTATTTTGTTTCGATTTATTTTATTTTGTTTTACTTTATTTTAATTTAATTTTATTTATCTAATTTAATTTAATCATTTTTTATTTTATTTTATTTTTTTAATTTTTAGTTTAATTTACTTTATTTTACTTTATTTATTTTAATTTAATTTTACTTAAGTTTATTTTGTTCTTTTCATTTTACTTTATTTAATTTATTTTTAATTTTGCTTTATTTTGATTTATACTATTTTATTTTGTTTTATATTACTTTTTTCTATATTTAACTAATTTATTTTTTTTTATTTTTGTTTAAATTTTAATTTATTTCATTTTATTTAGAGTTATTTAGTACAATTCAATTTAATTTAATTTCATTTTAATTTATTTTATTTCATATTCTTTAATTTAATATATTTAATTTTATTTTACTTTATGTTATTTTAGTTTATTTTATCTTTTTCTACTTTATTTTATTTTGCTTTCATTTATTTTATTTTATTTTACTTTATAAAATTTAGTTTTACTTTGTTTAATTGTGTTTTATTTCATTTTACATAATTTAATTTAAATTTATTTTATTTATTGTAATTTAGATTATTTTATTTTATTTCTCTTTTTTATTTTATTTTAATTTATTATTTTTTTTTTCAATTTTATTTTAATTTATTTCATGTTCCTCTTATTTTATTTATTTTTATTTAATTTAATAAAATTTAATTTAATTTTAGTTCATTTATTTTAATTTATTTCATTTTACTTTATTTTATTTTACTTAATTTTATTTTATTTTATTTTATTTTATTTTATTTTATTTTATTTTATTTTATTTTATTTTATTTTATTTTATTTTATTTTATTTTATTTTATTTTGCTTTCATTTATTTTATTTTATTTTACTTTATTAAATTTAATTTTACTTTGTTTAATTGTGTTTTATTTTATTTTACATAATTTAATTTAAATTTATTTTATTTTAATTTAGGTTATTTTATTTTATTTCTCTTTTTTTATTAAAATTTAATTTTTTATTTTTTTTTTCAATTTTATTTCAATTTATTTTATGTTCCTCTTACTTTATTTATTTTTATTTAATTTAATAAAATTTAATTTAATTTTAGTTAATTTTTTTTTATTTTATATCATATTATTTAATTTATTTCATTTTACTTTATTTTATTTTACTTTATTTTATTTTACTTAATTTTATTTTATTGTTTTTTATTTTTATCAGTATTCGACTCGAATTATATTTAACCCATTATACTGGCTGATGCATAACTGCCACTAATTAATGGTTCACGTGAATTGACGGATGTGTTGGATGGATCCAAATGATGGGCCTCACTGGAGGAGAGCGTGAATTCCGTTGACGTTTCGACAGAGTCATGTTGACTTTGTGTCTGTTCATGACGGCGTGGTTTGGCGATGATCATGGCGTCTTTGGCACCTGGCGTGACACCATCGGCATGTGAAGCGGGATAGCTGGAGACGCGTTTGAGCGACTGAGAAGAGGAGAGGAGAAAACAATATATTAGAAAAGGCAAGTGAGTGTGTATAAAAAGAGCTATGCATAGCCAATTGTTTGGAAAAAAATTTACAAAATTTTTACGGTCGCGACTACTACTTGCAGAAAAATAAATAAAAACTTTAAAATACTGCTCTACAGGAGACGTTATTTTCATTATTCGCAAATAGTGATATAGCATTTCCGAGATGATAAGCTGCAAACCGCTGATAAATCTACACACTCAGTTAAGCAAAAAACCTCCAAAAAAAACCCCAACACCGAAGAGCCATGATTTTAATATTGCCTTTGTGACAATACCTCTTGAAATTCCAATGTGCACAACAGGATAGAAGAATCTTTTAATTGTAGACACCTTGTTGTACGCAGAAGACATCAGTTCCAATTCTTCTGTTCTCGTGAGTCTAGACTCAAGGTGGAGGAGATCTTCATCTTATTGCGATTTATGCATAATAAATTCGAGTTTGATTCCGCTTCTAAGCTGATCGAACTGCACCTTTGGTGGGTCGTCTCTTCGAGGTATACCTTAGGAAACGTTTAATAATTTGAGGTCTTCCGGGCTATGGGGAAAGAGCTAGAAGAACCCGCAAGTTTAAAATCATGAGCTAACATGACGTCGTAGTGCAGTGCCTTGGATCTCTCGGGCTTGAGCAAATGTAAACTACCAAGAGAAAACTTGTCCGTTAACTGTTTCTTTTACCTGGTAACCGTCACAACTCTATAAGCTACGCTCGTTTTTGCTTTTTTCATTTCTTTTTCTTTTTTTTTATTGATGATGGGATAAGAGAGAAGAAGATGAGTGCCGATACTTCTGAGACCGTGTAGGGAAGCTATACCTGGTTGTGCAGGGCCCGAGACATAGTTAGCCCTTCCGATCTTGGTCTGCGATATGATCCTTTTGACTGAGCTACTTCATCAATCTGTGTATGCGCCTTAAATTTTTTCCAACAAACAGAAGCATCTAAAGTTTGTTCTAAGCGGTGTCCGAACGATTGATGTATTTTTATGAGGAGCTTTTTGCTTCACTTCAGAAATACACTAGGAGGGGATGACTTTCCCTTCCGAAGAGCGACCACTCGCCCTTTGCGGACGTATGACATTTTGAAACAGTGAAATCAAGTCACTCCGGATACCTTAAGGACTTAGATATAGAGCGAAGCCTTTTTATTTACAGAAAAAAAGCTTTAACATATCTTGAGTTATTAGAATTTGGGGGGTTCCAGTCCGGTCTTTTTTTGCCTCTCAACTCAGATGTTATCACTTTTTGTGAATTTCGAAAAATCTAACAATATTTCGAAAACATTTCGAATAATTATTATCCGTACCTCAGTATCTCTCTACATCTACAAATCAAAGTCAACCAAATAAACAAAACTTTAACACTACAAGTGAATGCACATACGACTTTATGTGCTGCATTCGTCCGGTTCGTTAGTTCGGTTAAACGAGTAGAGTTGCTCCAATACTATCTAGTAGAAATATACAAAACCTTGTCGTTCAAAGCAGCCTCCGTCGCAGCACCATTGGCAGTGGACATGGACTCGTTAACGGGGCAGATATTTTTGCTCGATGAGAACTTCTTGCGTTTCTTTTTCAAAGCGGCAATGGCGGTTAGACCTTTGGAATATTTGGTTTAAAGAATGAAATTAATTGTATAAAAAAACTCAGTGATATTACCGGTTGTTGTGTGAAAGAAATGAGATGCGCCGCTGCCACCGCCGGAGCTGCTTACGCTGTTGCCGCTACCACTATTCAAGCTGCTGCTGTGCTCCTTCATGAATGGGCCAGCATGTGATGATGGATGGTGCGCTAATGTGTTTTGGTGACGATTACCCGGGGCCGGTTCCCCACCGTTGCCTATGTAATGCTGTGCGGAATTCTGTGCATATGTGACGCGTACCTGGCCATGTACGGGTGATGAGTTCGCAGAAGAGTTGCACACAGAATCTTCGGATTTCGAGCGTCCTAACATTTTCGAAACATTGCCCACCTTAGCGGCCTCGATGAGCGTGCCTAAATTGGTATAGAGAAAAGGGTAGAAAAAATATAAAGTAGCTTGAAAGTTATTTGAAGTCCTTTCGGATTTATGCACTAAATACAGAATTACTTCTGTAACGGAAGCTTGTAAAACGTGGGAAATAATGAGCTTCGGATTACGCCAGTATGGATGCTGGTCCTCAGAACTTATTATGGGTAAGTTTCTGAGACAAATAGCCTCAACGGATTTCGCTTCCATTTCGGGCCGCCAAACCCTGGCTATATCATATTTAAGGTCATCACTGAATCACCAAAATAAATTATTAATACCCCAACCAGCCCGTGTGATGTTAGTTCGTCACGTGGTTTCGCTGTTAAACACATTCTTTCCAGGGGGCATACGCCCACTCACCTTATTGAGGTGTTTCTTATTGTCTCAAGGTCTCTGATGCATGAAGAAACCGCTCAAGCATGGCTACAGGGCTTGAATATTCCGTCCATAAACCAATCTCGTCGGGCCGTTCAAATACCGATTAGCGAGAGGACCAACCAGCTTCGAATGAAAATCTAAAATAATCACTCTCACTTACCCCAACGCTTTTTATGGCCCGCAATCCGCTTGTTATGTGGCTTCAGTGCTGATTTATTGTATTTTGTTGTTGTTTGTATAGTAGTAGTTGTTGTTGTCGTTCCATTTGTTGGTGACTCTTTACCACTGGTCTGACCATTCTGATGATTCTTTTGTATAAAATTTGAATTGAAAAGATTCGATAGCGTGGAGCTGAGTATTTCATGTTGCGAATCAAAGTTATCCAAAGAAGTGGAAAACTCTGCAACCGGCGCCAGTGAACCCGTCGAACCGGGCGGTGCTATGTTAAAGCCTTTCATAAGACGACGTTCCTTTTGACGATTCTTCTTGCCACCACCACCTGTGAGGAGGAGAAGTAGTAAACATTTTTTTATTGGTTCTCGAACGTTTCCGAACAGCACTCACCGCCTTGTCCCGCCGTTACATTTGTATCCATGCCACTGTTCTTCAAAATCTCTACCAATTCACAACGGAATGCTGATATATCCTGTTTAATCTCGTTAACATCGTCCTCCGTGACACCTTGTGATTCGGCTTTGCGTTGCTCCACAGTCACATAACGACGCACCAAGTTACGCATTATTTGCTGGACAGTTATGCACATGAAATTAACCTTAAGCAAACTCATATACTGGAATAAACTAATGTACCTGATATTTAAAGTCACGATCACTCGCCTGCTGAGCTTTGCGTCGTATTGTCTTCAAATGTTCACGTCTTGCTGCCGATGAGCCGCTGCAAAAGACTCTGCGTGCCCACTTGAACACATACCAGATGGACTTTGGTGTCGGTATGATATTGAATGGTGGCGGACAAGTGCCACCTTCCTCGAAGTAACTTATCCACAGTTTGGAACGCGCAAATTTCCATTCAACATCAGCACGTTCCTGGGAAATTGAAATGATTAGAAAAAAAATTAAGATTTGGATGGGACTTCTTTGGAGTGAGCTTAGTCATAGAAAAACTTCTACTGGCTACTGAAGGATATTGGATGAAAATCTTTTGTAATCGGTTCTTCTCATATCGAGTGCTATCAGAGAGCTAGTATGCAAGTCCAGTATAAAACGATAGCTTGAGTACCTGCTGTAATCACAACTTTTTGGCGTCGAACCTTTTTTGGTTTTCACTTCCACGTGTGAAATGCCTTTCCACAGTTTTCTTATACTGAGTACTCTCAGAGAACAGAAATGGAAGTCGAGCTAAAATGGTAGTCCGAGTTGATGTTTAATCCAGCAAGAATACTAAAATCTTGGCGTCCGTCTTTCAATAATATCGATCTGGTTGCGAGGTTTTCGATCCAGAGACAGCCAAGTAGCTTGATGGTCAGGACTTAGTACTACGGACAACCATATTTTGTTTACCGGTGTATTGGATTTGCTTCAAGCCATTTGAGGCTGAATCATGGAAGTTGATATTTTCGAAAATACGATATTCTAAATGCTCTGACTGTGTTGCCATTCAATATTAAACAAAAGCCTTCAGGGGTACTGCAAACGAACCCAGCTCATCTCACCCAGAGCCATCTCAAATAGGTCTCTAGTGTGGAGTTCTGACATTTCAGGGAATTCTCAATTGAATTATGGCCGATTCAAGCACTCCGTCTCAGTATTATACTGGCGTAAACTTCCTAAGCTGGGGAGTATCACAAACATATTTCGGAGCAACCAACCTCACCCTATATGGGGCAGTACCTCTTCTCCTTGCATTGTTAAAGAAAGCAACCCTTGTAGCTACATTATAGGCTTATAAATGGATTCTTGGTCCCATCATCAGTGGAAGCATGGGAGTAAACCAGCGATAAGTTTGAACAACTTCCTTTTGATGTGGAATGGTAGCTAGGAGCTCACCTATAGGACTCAATGGCAGTACTCGACCATATAGTTTATCGCTTTGGGTCACTTCATATTCCGTCCTTGTTTCGTCGATCACCAGTTGGAGAGTGAACACTAGCCAAGTGTTGTCGTAAAAAGTAGGGTTTCTGAGGCTATTTTATATGGTAGGTTCCCATTTTATGTCTTTCTGGCTACTGCCAGATTAATGATAGTCAAATTCCTTCCTCATTCAAGTGGACCTCTCCATATTGCCCCGGGGAAGCGATGGAATCGAGACCAGCCAAAATTTCTTGTACTTTGCCTTCGAGTTTAAGGAAAATACCAATTACTCTAATAAACCACTGAAAAAAACTTACCGAAATCAGCTGATAAGAATGATTCATCATAGCGATGAGTAGATTTAAGAGCACCACAATATTTATAACCGAATAAGTGCCAAACATCAGCATGCCCCAGAAACGTGTGAAAATCTTAATACCATCCAACTCAAAGCTGTCCAAATCGATCAAGCCAAAAACGGCCCAGAACAGCGTTTGAGTAGTTTCGAAGAGACTGAAAAACAAAAGAAAAAAAAAACATTAAAATAAAAAGATATATTTGTTGCCGTGTACAACTTTGGACACAGTTTAACTGACTTTGAAAACCGACGCCACACAATACAGGCATTCGGATCCGTTGTGCCATTCATGTTGATGAGCACATTTGATGGTGAAACTTCCGGACACCGTTTCTTCTCCAAATCAGCATAGTACCTGTAAGTGAATATCTTATGTAGGGCCATAAGTTCGTAGTTTCCCGAGCACTTACCACAACAACTGATTCAGACCACTACCAAAGGCGAATAGAACAAGCACATACAAAAAGAAAAACTTCATGATATCCATAACCATACGCGACAGGGACACTTGCAGTGGTCCCAAATGTGGATTCACCGAAAAGATGTATACCAATTTGAGGCTACTGAAAATGTTTGCCGCACTAAAGAGTCCTTCCGAAATGAGCATTGGATCCCATGTGTCCCAACGCTCACGCGGCAAATCAGTGGCATTCGGATTAATGATCATTTCTTTTTGCACTTGAAAGAAGGACACCACACGCAATGCGACAGTGGCCACATAGAGTGAGTTCGTTACGAAATCGATGACATTCCACATGTCATTTAGATATTCTTGCAGGCCAACATCCCAAAGTTGTTTCACCTCGCTCCAAATGAGACCTAAAGAGGGTAGAGTTAAAAAAAAAAAACAGAAATATATATATATATATATATACATATATATTCTCATATAAAAGTTGTGTAGTTATTGTTTTCCAAACTCACCACTAACCCACGCCAGTATTAGCCACTCAATGAAAGTCGGTTTGGCGCCACGTTTTGTGGGCACTTCTTCGACTTGTGTGATTATGTTTTGAGTATCGCTCCAAAACCAACCACCAATAAAGGTTTCGATGCGTTGCGAAGCAAGCATGAGTAAAACTGTGTTTTTGCAATGAAAAAACATTTTAATTGATTGAGTCTTGGAGCCTCAATGCTGCTGTACTTACACAGAAATGTAAAATAGGAGGCACTGTGGCATATAAATTTTATAAAGGGTTTACGCATAGTCTGTCCTATACTAGAGTACGGTGCCAGAATGTAAGCCAATGAGAATATGGGAAACATTATACCTGTGAGGGAGTACAGAAATGGTTTTAAAAAAAGTTCAACTTGACTTAATTCTATTTATGTATTTTGATTTTATTTTATTTTGCTTGATGTCATGCACTATGCAATATAGATATGTACTCGTGTATGTAAATATATATATTTTTTCTTTTATGAGAGTTTTATTTTATTTTATTTTCATTTATTTTATTTTATTTTATTTTATTATATTTTATGTACATATATATATCATTGTCACTTTATAACCGCTGAAGCGATTTTCGACCGAGTTCTTTCTCCAATTTTTAGCTTGCGTATTCCAAACTGCGATGGATTTTTCGGTGTAGCTGTTTCTATTTCAATGTGAGAAATATACTCGGAGAGTCTGGCATTCCATTCCAAAAGGTAACAGTAATTAGAAGAATTTATTTTTGGTATAATTTTGTATACTAGTCGAACCTCGACTCGAACCCTGACCTTCCGAATAGCAGTGGGCAAGGGTAACCACTCAGCTATTGCGGTAGCCACAATATATTTGAATATATTGGTCAAGTAAAAAGTTCGTTCGGTTTTTATCTAAGAGATGGCGTTGAAAACGTGTTTATTCGCGCTAAAAGTTTGTCTTTGACAGTTTTTCGATTGATTGACTCGGTACGTTGTGAGGGATGGGGGATGAGAAATGAGGGATTTTTTTTTATTTGAGTTTTTGTTATGTTTTTGTTTTACTTTATTTCTTTTATTGGTTTACTTTATTTTATTCTATCTGGCAAAGACAACACCATTAGCGCATTATGAAGGGAAAGTGGAACCCAGTCAAACCAACGGCATGCCGTTTTCTCTGCATGCTGAACACTACCGGTGGCTTCTCACCAAACCAATATACGTGGTGTGACAATTAAGTAATGAGACTGACTCCATAATATACGGTTTTCAAAATTATTCTACAGCTCTGCCTTCCCTTTCAAAGTAGTACCCTTGGGCAGCTATATAAATATTCCAGCGCGTTTTCCATGCTTAGTAACATCTTCGCCTGGGATGTCCGCGAGTACCCTCGTCACGGTCGCCTGGATGTCTCCAATCGAGTAAAAATGGGTTACTTTGACCACGGATTTCGTCCAAGGGTACAAAAAAAAAGTCACAGGGTGACATATCCGGCGAATAAGGTGGATGTAGCAACACGGCGATCCCTTTAGAGGCCAAATACTGAGACACGCTGAGGACAGTGTGGTATCTGGGAGCATCCTTTTGATTTGTTTTCGCAATCTTTCGAGTACTTAACGATAGTGGACTGGATTTACAGTTTAGAAAAAATTCTTTATGGACGATTCCTATCCTAAAATCAAAAAAGTCAATAATCATCGTTGCCACCTTCGACATGCTTTTGCCCCTTTTTAAACTCTGTATGCCATCGAAACACCTGGGCAAGACTGAGAGCACTATCACCATGCACTTTTGCAATTTTAGCGTCCATTTAGCGTCCATCGCGACGCGTTGCTCTCGGTTTCGTTTTGCCAATTTCGTGGGGAACTAAACAAGCTGGAGCGATGGCAAATATATCAGTGGAAAGCAGATGGATGCCGGGAGAAGGGAAAGGGAATTTCCACGCCGCAAGGTTACCACAATTGCTGTAATATAATCAGTCTCATTACTTAATTGTCATACGACGTAGCTTTAAATCCGATAAATATAATGAAGAGACGCCACAAAGATTTCGCACCCTTCGGTATTTGAGTCTAATAATGAGAAGCAATCTTAAGGACAAAGAATTACTTAACCAGACTACAGATGGACAGCGAAACCACAATGTGCGACAGGAGCAATGCATGGCTCTACCCTCGGGCCAGACCTCTGAAACATCAGCTACGATGTCATGACTGACGGCATTGTCGCTATAATTGCTGCATTACGTTAAGTCGTGTAATGATAAGAGCACAAAAGTGGCTTAACCACTTACTTATGAGCGGACTCACTTAAAATGAATAATAGACGAACGGTACTAGCCAAAGTGTACTGCACAGCAACTTTAAGGGTGGCATCAGCATTATCAACACAGTATCAGGTGAAGCTATGGCTTTAATAATGGAAACCGTTCCCATCGATGAGGATACAGGGATGATCCAAGGAAGAATTGTTAACAAAATCATAGTAGACAAAAGAAAGGAACCCCTAAGGCAGTTGAAATTCTACTGGGAATTAAAAAGTTCTGCCCGATGGATAACTAGGTTATTAATCGACGTCAGAGTGTGCATGGCTAGAAATTCGGAAAAGTAGATGTACCCAGATGCTGTATGCTCATGGATTTACATATATAATTGGCGCTTTGAAACCGCTGGAGCGATTTTCCGCCGAGCTCCTCCTCCAATTTGTGGTTTGGCGTCTTGATGTTTTTCCAACAAATGGAGAGACCTACAGTTTAAATTAAGCTGCCTCCGAAAGGCTGATGGTTTTTTTATGAGGAGCTTTATTTCATGTCAGAAATACACTCGTAGGGGTTGACATTCCCTGCCAAGGGGCGACCTCTACGAGGTGTGTTCAAAAAATATCGCGAATTTTGTGTTTTTTCAAAAACTATTCGTCGTCCTTTTATGAGTCTCTTCAGTTTAGGTAACAAGAAAAAGTCACAGGGGGCTAAATCTGGGGAATACGGTGACGGCGGCATCATTAGTGTGTTGTTTTTGGCCAAAAAGTCTCGCACAAGCAACGATGTGTAAGCAGGGGCGTTATCGTCGTGCAAAAGCCAATTTTTGTTCTTCCCCAAATCCGGGCGTTTCTGGCGAATTGCTTCACGCAAATTGCGCATAACTTGCAAGTAATATTCCTTATTGATCCTTCTACCCTGTGGCAAGAACTCATGATGCACCACGCCCCTGCAATTAATTTTTTCGTCTGTTGTTGAAGTGCTCGGGCGTCCGGCACGCTCTTCGTCGTTCACATCTTCTCGGCCTTCTAAGAACATTTTGTACCACCACTAAAGGTTGCTTCGGTCCAAAGTAGCTTCTCCGCATGCCACAGTCAACATTCGGAATGCATCCGCGCACTTAATTTCGTTTTTCACACCAAATTTGATACTGATTCTTTGATCCTTTTTTTTTTTTGAATAGGTAAAAATCGAAGACCATCCAAAGCACGTGCAAGCAAAGCAGCTGTCAACAATTAAGTGAACATTCAAAATGGCCGAGCTTGTCGGCATAAGTGACAGACATGAGTACCAATATAACGCCAAAAAAAATCGAAATTCGAAAATTCAAAATTCGCGATACTTTTTGAACACACTTCGTATTAGAAAATTTAAATTATTTTTCTATAACTTTTGGATGTTGGTGGCACCGGGATATGAACCCGAGCCTTCCGAATGGCAGCACGCAATGCTAACCACTCGGCTACCACACTCAAGGATACTTCAAGAAATATTTTTGTAAAAAAAGGACGACTCGTCATATATGCTGGACAATGACGACGCTGGAGACATATCCCACTCGCAAAAAAATATTTATTATAATTTCATTTAATTTACTATAATTTGATTTAATTTAGCCGTATGTTACTCTGTCTTATTTAATTTTTTTATTTAATTTAATTTATTTTATTTTTTTCCTAATTTTTATTTAATAGTTTTTTTTATTATACTTTTCATACGCTTTTAACTTCTCATACATACCAATTCTTATAATATCCAATGCTTGTAGGGCCATATTTTTGCGTCGAAATCCCGGCAGTCCTTCGTACCAAATGCTCGCCAAGAGCTGCTGTACATTTGAATGAGCCACAAACTGGTTGAGTAGAGTACAAAAAAAAAATACTGTTATTCTTTATTGTTCAAGACAAATTAACACTGCTCCGCGCACCTTCTTCTGCCTCAATTTGATTGCCAATTTCAAGCGATTCAAATGCATACGCTCGCCATGTTCATAAATCGGACCGGTGGGATCATGATTCAGTAGGATTTCCAATTCGTGTGATGTGCGCGTGTGATCGAGTAAAGCGGTGGCAAAATCCTGGCATTGTTTGCGCAATTCCTGATATTCATTCTAAGGTAAAAAATTTGAAAAAAAAATCTTCAGAAAAAAATTGGGCGATTGCATTATCATCAAAACAATTACCTTGAATTCGTGTTCGAGAAAACTCAAACGTCTCAATTCCCATGACAATTCAAAGGCAGTTAATATAGGATCCTTCGATGACAATGCTATTAGGCTGGGACTGGCCAGCGAACGATAGGCATTAATGCGTGAACGTGAGTGTCGTAGGGAGTCTTCTTGGCGAGATTGAACACATTCGTCACAACCGCATCTGTGGGATATATATAAATTTATTTTATTTTTTTTTTTTTGAAAATTAATTACCAACAATTTTCGTATAATTTGAAGAATCTTATGCAATATATTTATAAACAGATTTTACAAAAATCAATTCACATCTCAGTGTGTTGCTTACTAAGATTTTTAGTCAGGAATTTGCTTGTTGTCACTTGATTTAACGTTTTCGCAGTATTTTTCTTTATTTTAATATTTTCTAACAAACTCACCTAACATCATGCGGCATTGGCAGTACAGCTCCACGATCTAGTAATATTTTGATTATCTCATAGTTATCACGATGTGCAGCCAAAATAAGTGGCGTAATATCCGGTGTGAATGTTGAAGTGTCCTCCGATTGGGACTCCCAACTCTAAAGAGATGAAGAAATTATTTTAAATAAAAAATAAATAAAAAAAAAAAGAATTTAAATATTTTTTTCAAAGGATTTTGTGAAATTTTTAAGGAATTTAATTAAAAAAGTGACGGTTATTACATTAAGGAGACTTCATACATCATATACCATGAACAGAGATTATAGTAGGTTTACTCGTGTAACGGTTGTATGTAGGTAGTTCAGTAGGTCGAAGTAGTGGCCGGGTATCACTTCACTTGAATTACCAAACGAACCCATTGTAATACCACTAAGGAGCCTAATGATCCCCTGCACCCATGTGTGGAGTTCGCAAAACAGAGAAATCGTCGCATCTTTGTTTCTGGCACCTCATGCAAGCACCTTAAGAATGCCTTCTTGTCTGTAATTTTAGCAGAAATCTTTAAATGGCACTCCGCACCTCTCTGGCCCATAGAAAACGCCCCATAAGAGAAGACCTGTAGTTATGGTGATCTCATTTATTTTCAGCGCGCTAAGGTCTCTTGATCTGTATTTATCGCATGCTGGCCATATTGTCGAGGAATGACGAGACTAACGATTTAAGCATGTCTGCCTTCGTCCGTCCGAGAGAGAGGCAGGTTGAGGAAATACTCTCCTGTTTATTCCATACAAGCGTTTGCCTAAAGTATATTAAATTTTCTAAGTTGTTTCAATTTCTTCCAACCATGTGTGCACACTTCAATCGGCGTTAGACGGCGGTCACACGCAAATAAGCTTCGTTTCCGTTTCGCCATCCTCTGTACATGCTCTGCCCCCAGCCGATTCCACTTTACTTAACTTATGAAGATGATATTTCAGGTTTAGATGCCACGATAATACATACACCCACAAGAATGCTAAATTTTCTTTAGCTTAGTGCTGGTCTGCCTATAATCCACGTTGTTCCATTATTTTATTGGTACGTCCTACGTGAGAAGAGTTCCAAGACTTTGAGTTCTCCTCCATGTTCCACTGCTTTAAACAACATTGGAAACCCCTGAAAAGCCTAAAAACACCTGATCAGTCGATGGTTGCAGCTTCGCCTGCGCGAGCCAGCTCGTCCGCTTTTTCAATATCTTCAACATCCGTGTGACTTGGGATCCAAGCGATATTGCCTGTGTTTTCCCAGGATCATCTGTTGACTCCCTCTTTACGTGTTCCAGCGAATGCTGGCATGTCTTTCATAATTCCGGGACTGAACCCTACATAGCAGGCCTTTCTAGTTTTGGCTGATCTGTGGAGTTAATATAAATATCAGTGAAGTATTTAATGCGCGATTCAACGCAACATAATTTAATGTTTAATGGGAGTGCTTTTTTGTTATAACTCCTAATTGCGGTCGCCTCTCGGCAGGGAATGTCAAACCATTCGAGGGTTTTACGGACATGAAATAAAAACTTCGCGTAAAAGACCATCGGTCGATCGGAGGCGGCTTAGTATGAACTGTAGGTCCCACCATTTGTGGGAAAAACATCAAGACGCAACACCCCGAAGTGAAGGAGGAGCTCGGCCGAAAGTCACTTCAGCGCTTACAATGCGAAGAAGAAAAGAACTTACATGATTTCCCTCCGTATGAAAGGTGACATTCTCATGATCCAAAAGCACTTCTACAGCCTCTACAAACTCCTCGGATATAGAGTGTAACAGCGCATCTTTGGTGTCCACATTATAACTGATGAGTAATTCAACCATTTCCAAATTCTCATTGTCGATAGCCATGAGAAGTGCAGTACGTCCCAAAGGATCAACACAATTTACATTGATATAGTCGGTATCTTGCGCCTTCTGGAGCATTCTGAAAAGAAAATTAAAAAATAATAATTTTTAACCTCAATAACAGTGTTCCAACTGGTTAATTGGAACTCAAAGTCTGAAGGTTATGAATTGACTGGTAAATGCATAAATATGAAATATATCTGAAATATATGTACAATATCTAAGTATGAAAGTGAGAATCACATGCACGTATGTATGTATGTATGCCGACTAACCTTCGTGTGCCCGCCATATCGCCGCGCTCCACCGCCAACAGAAACTTCTTCTCCTCCAAGGTTAGCTGACGGATCTCCTGATGGGGCCGCACAATATTCTCCTCCTCCATCATGCCGTGTATGCTGTGTCGCTGCGATGAAAGGTGAAGAGACGACGATATTTATTTTATGGTTAGACAATTTATTCAATGTCACATGCAGACATGCAACACCACCATGCAACCAAACAAAACAAACAAAACAAACAAGAAGCCTATGCAAGAGTTTTACGCATACAGATGTTTCTAATGTACATACATATATATTAGTATATGTGTATGGCTATGTGTTTTTTTAACACATCACAACTGCTTGTTGTTGCTTTTAATATTTTATCTCTTGAATCTTTGTAAATATGTGTACATATATGTATGTGTGTTTGTATAAAATTCACGCACATACTCACCTTGACCTTTTTAGCCGGCTCAATTTGTACGGTCACATGACTATTGTTATCATTAATGACATTTCCCAAAAGTCCTCCCCCACTGCTATTGCCGCCGCCGCCGCCGCCGCCGCCAACACCACCACCTGCACCGCCCAGTCCACCAATGCCACCGTTGCCCTTTTTCTCACCATCCAAAGCGTCTGTACCATTCTTGATTTTGCTCAAAATTGGCGCCAGCACAGATTTTCTACGCGCCGGTGATACAAAATGCAACTTTTTTCCTTCGTCTGTGAAGGAGAATAACAGCAGGTGGGATATTAAAAGTTAAGTCATTTATTTGTTGTTATTTTATGCAATTAGTATAAAATCAATAATAATTCTCGAGTAACTCTCTCTTTCGCTTTCCGGAAAATTTCAGTTATAAATTTCAAAATTTTGACAGCAGAATAACCAGCCAATGAGAGCTGGTAATCGTATAAAGCCTTTCCGAACTTCCTTCCAAAAAAACAAATTTGGCTCAGAACAACCCCGCGCTTTGCGTTATGCGCTGGGTCTACCTTCCCACTTCTCATATAATGTAACGAAACCCAAACGTTAGGGTCGTTTAGGTCAGTGCGACTTTTCAGATTCCCGCGTTTGCGCTATGAGCGGCATACAAAAACCGTAGGTCCAAAAATACTGTTACATCCTTTAGCGAGGAAATGCATTTATTGACCTTTTTCCTATTTCTTTGAAAAACAATCCTTTGGGGATTGAAGTCCTCATCGATGTTACCAGATAGATTTATGGGTTAGTCATCTCTCTTGCCGGCGTTACGATTTTATTCGTTAACTTTAAGTAGTCATTGGCTATATACTCTTTGTGTAAAAAAAAATATTAATCGTTAATCGTTTTTTGAAACCGAATTTCAAAAGCAAAAAATATTTCCAATTGTTTACAAATTATATTAATGAATATTAATATAAACTTGGCAATCATAATGAAAGTAATGAAGTTTTAAAGCTTACAGCATCATCTATACCAGCTTAAGGATGGTTCTACTTTGTGATCATGTACGCGCGGGTAGGCTAATTCAGAGAAAAAATTCTGGCAACACTAGTACTGATACACGGTGTGTCCCAAAAATAACCGAACTTTTTGGATATAAAATAAAATACACATTATATTATCTTTGAAAGTTATTATTTATTTAAAATACGTGTGGATTCCATTTGACTCAACACAACGTCTGGAACGATCAACCAGCGCATGCATAGATTTTTTTTATGTCATTTACAGAAATGTTCTTCAGTACCTCGGTTACGGCTGCTTGAATGGCTGGGATATCATCATAAAATGCTCCCTTCATCTTGGATTTCAGCTTTGGAAATAAAAAATAGTCACATGGTGATAGATCAGGCGAATACGGAGCGATTTTTTGGTCGTCATTTAATTCATGTGGAACAAATCTTCAGTTAAAATTCTCCAAATAGTACTCTTACTCGCATTCAATTCCTAAGCCAACATTCTCGTGGTAAAGTTTGCATTGATACCAATGATTTCATGGACTTTTTCCACCAGTTCAGCACGATTACTAGTTTTTGGACGTCCTGCTCTAGCGTCGTCATTACCATTTTTAAATCGTGAAAACCACGTATAAACTTGCGTACGACTCATACAATCATCACAATAATAATTTTTTTTTTTCAAGTTTTACACAAAATTTTATATTTGCTCTTTGTTCCATTTGATTTTTGAACCATTAGCACACTTTTGGTTTTATTGAAATGGCTGTCACTTTTACATCTGCCATCCGACTTACATGGTGTTAGGTGCGTTTGAAAGAGGATGAAAGTATCTTTTTAATATTGCAAATTTTCAATAGATGGCGCTGTATGTTGTATGATTTAAATATAAAGTTCGGTTATTTTTCGGACACACCGTGTATTCATCATTGCAACATCTGGCGTTAACCCAAAGTGAGTATAAGATTAGTATACGAGGGGATTAACAAAAATTTGGCAAATTGAGCAGAAATAAAATCAAAAAATTCTTTTTGTATTTATTGTAATTATTCGCAATCTTTGTCCATTTTTATCTTCTTTTCATAGTCGCCATTGATTTCAACGCATTTCTTAAGCCTATAAATCCATTTCTGAAAACAATCTTCAAAATCTTACTTTTTAAGCTAAAAGGCACGGCTATTATTTTTTTTTTTAATCTTTGGAAACAACCAGAAATCACAAGGTTCCATATCTAGGCAATATGGGGCTGGACGTATTTCTACGATCCCAGAGATCACAATAAAATTACTCTTTATTTCAGCAGTGTGGGATGGCGCGTTGTCATGATGTAAAAAGTAGCGCCGCAAATCCCTTTCCTTCCTGTTTTCCAACAATTTTTCGAAAACTTTTGGTAAGCACTCTTCGGTCTACCATTTTGCAGTTCCCTTTTGACTCTTTTCCAGTGGAATAGCAGCTACGATTTTAGATCTCGTGAAGTAACTGGCATCATTACCTTTGCTACTGATTTTTGTTGCTTAGATTTTACCTGTGGGATTACACCTGTTGGGATCCACACCATGGACCACTGTTTAGCTTTTGGATCGTATTTATAGAACTAAAGTTCGTCGCCAGCAATGACTTTACTAAAGTTGCTAGACTGACCATTTTTGCATTTGTCTTAGTCAATTTTGGACTATACGAGTGCTACAGTAGCGCCATCAATGGAAGATTTTGGTCGATCTTCTCGGAGTTCGTCCTCTACGAAAAAATGTCCGGTCTTGAATCTTCGGAACCACTTAGAAATTGTCTTTAAAGATGATGCAATCGTTCCATGTGAAATTAATTACTGGATATTTGTATTTTCTGTACGCCGAAACTCAAAGAGAACCACAAGGCGAAATTCTGTTTGCGTTGGTTGTGGAATTTCGTCTGATCTATCCTCAGCTAACTTGCGTTTTCTCGTCTCCATTTCAGCCGATCGCTTTAAAATTTCAAAGTAAGACTAACAAAGTAATTGAAAAGGATTTGATATTGTTAGATTTTACAAAAACAAATTGAAAGTCACTAACTGGCCGAACTTTTGTTGATCCGATCGTGAATGGGAAAAGTCATTACTTTCGCGACTAGGCTCCCACGTCACTGTTGAATATCATAAGTTCGAGGTCGTAGATAATTTCGTTTATCTTGGAAGGAGTATTAACACCAACAACAATTTAATCCTTGAGATCCAGCGCAATATCAGTCTTGTCAACAAATGCTGCTTTGAACTGAGTAGACAATTGAAAAGTAAAGTCCTCTCCCGACGTACGAAAACCAAACTCTACAGATAGCTTATCGTTCACGTTCTGCTATATGGTGCGGGGAGATAGACGATGGCAACATCTGATGAGTCGACATTAAGTGTTTTTGAGAGAAAGAATTTGCGTACGATTTATTTTCCTCTACGAGTTGTGAACGGCGACATTGACATAGTTCAGCGAATCAGTAGGCTAGGTCTTGTGGTCCAGATTTATAAGAATAATAAAAGCATTTAAAGTTTTCGATGCACTACCCATCGGTGGAAGCAGATTAAGAGGAACACCTCACCACCGCTGCAAAGAACAGGTAGAAAGAACCTGTGTGTACTTAGTACATCCAAGTGGCGCCAAACAGCGAGTGGAAGAAATGAAAGGCGCAATGTTGTTAACTCGGCTATAATCGCGTAAGCGAATAAGAAGAAGAAGAAGAAGGAGAAGAATATGCGCTCATTGTCGTTGTAGTTGCTATCATTTGCCTTTGTTTTACCGCAAAGATATCCTCCCAGTAACCGAGTCTACGACATCGTTAATAGCAGAAATGTCTGTTTCGAATTCATTGCAAATCATTTGAATTATTTAGCATTATGATAGTTTAAAGCTTCTGACAGAATTCTCCGTTGCCGGTCTTTTCATCAAACTCCACACGTTTATGAGTAAGTTCAGCGGCTCGCCTCCTCCAAAAAATTTGCAACTTCCGTTCATCTCAGGTGCTTCAGTATGAAATTGGAATGCACTTATCGTTGTTATCAGTATTCGAATCGTCTGGGCACACGGATTTCTTAACAATGGCCGGAGAGTTTTAAGGCTCAGGTTTATGAAATTTTGTGTTGATGAATCGAACGAGCTCTACGCTCCCTGGATTGATGGCGAGACTACATACAGAAATCACTTATAAATGGAGGTTTATGAGAGGTCTTTCTTTAGACAAGAAATGTTAATACCTGGTGCTGTATTTCTTACGAGGAAAACACTACTAGTTGCTCAGAGATAGATTAGAACGATAGGTCGCTCTCTATTCGGACGAATATATTAAGATATTTAAAGGAAATCGAAAATTAAACTCGGTCGAAAACTGCGGAATGATGAAAAACATGTTTCCTAGTTTAATTAGAAGTGGAATTAATACTTTTACCAAAAAAAATGTCTTTCCTCACATCTCAAGGGGTTTGATCATTCCGCCATTCTTAATCTAATACGGGAAAAATACCTACGAAAAATTAACAGAGCAAAAAGGTTAAGAAATAAAACTTAAACCGAATTAGTTGGTTAAGTTGAAATAAAACTGAAATAAAGTGTTAGTTAGAGAGGATTATTTTAGGAAGTGTGAGGTTATGTGGAAAACAATAATTTTAAAATATTTACTTTACCACAAAAGTTTAAATAAATGCTGATTTCCAGTGTCTGTGCCAAATTCTATCGCACATCTATATTGTATTCAGTCACTTTTATAACTCTCTGTGGAAGGAAAAATTAAAAAAAAATAAATTATAAAAATAAAATAAAGAAATTAATGAAAATATAAAAACAAAAATTAAAAATAATAATAATTTATTGATAAAATAACAAACGAGTAACGTACTTAATATTGAAATGTAAAATAAGCAATAAAAATGTTAAAAAATACATATTGACGAGGAAAACTTAATATTAAATAACAAAAAAATAGTAAAAAAATTTAATTCATCATTTTCAAAAACATTTGTATTTTCGTTTTGATCATAAAAATAATCTTAAATAATTAACATAAATATCTTAAATAATTAAAAAATAATCATTTTTAATAACTCAAAAAACTGACTTAGTTTGGGCATTTCAGTCTGTCTGTCTTTCGATCTGTTAGAACGCAAATTCGTCTTTCAGTTTTTGATATATTTGATTAAAAATTGGTTGTTGTTTTTGTTGTAATAGCGGTTCGCTAACCCCGCTTAGGTACAGGTTCGATCAATCTAAATCGCCGAGGTCATCTAGTGGGAAAGCCACCCACTGCGGGTTAGGGTGTGCA